GCAGTTTTCAACATGCTTAGCAATTTTGGAAGACTCTTATCCATGTCATTCATGTTGAAATTCATGACAAACTGATTAAAGCTATCTGGCAACGATTGCAAGATAAAATCAATTGCAAGTTCCTTTCCAAGCGGAAACCCTAACCTTTCAAGGTTCTCCACATACCCAATCATTTTGAGTACATGGGGACCTACAGGGTTTCCCTCAGATAACTTGCTGTTAAAAAGGGCCTTTGAAACCTGAAACCTCTCATTTCTTGCCTGCTCTTGATAGAGCATTTTCAAATGTTCGGTCATATCGAACGCTGACATGTTCTCGTGTTGCTTTTGCAACTCCGAGTTCATAGTAGCTAGCATGAGACAAGTGGCTTCGTTAGCATCATCAAAATGCTTCTTATAAGCATCTCTTTCTGCCTTAGGTGCCGAACTAGGCGTTCCTCTTCAGGAACAGGTGTCTCCAAGACATACAACTTCTTATCGTGCTTGAGGATAATCCTCAGATTTCGGTGCCAATCCAGGAAATTTGTCCCAGACAATTTTTCCTTATCTAGGATTGATCGCAAAATATGGTTGTTTGTTGTCATGGTAATCTACAAAAAAAAATGAAAATATAAGTATCATTAAAACAACATATTTAATTAGGCCTTTAATCAAATATGCTCCCACTATTTTACTCAAACCAAATGACCCTCATCATTTGATTCGGAAAATCCCGTTGGAAGACTTTCTAGTGGGTCGAGATCCACATTTCACTTCATTCTAAGTCAGCGTTAGGCTGATTACACAAAACTAGGTTATTTAGGTAGGAACTCCTTCCAATTGTATCTCATACAACTCTCGAATATTTTCAGTTGGGTGAATAACTCCTTATTCTAATTCATCATATGAATCATTCCCAACTCTTGCTTCCAAACATGTATAATCTTATTATAATGTGTTTAGTTAAGTTTGACCCATTGTTTTAGCAGTTGGATATTACAATTATCCCATCGCACCTTACTAATATAGAACATGCACCTCACGTAGGCGAAACCTACATTGTTCGATACTAGTCTTGATGAGTGCTAAAACTTGGAAAGCATGAACTTAATATTTAACTTGAGGGATTTTGTTATTAGTTTGATCTCATCGGCTTAACATGCAATTCGTCTCTCTCATGCATCAACATACAAACACATGCATCAATATACATAAAAGGATACATTTATGGCCCCTGGCGCAATTGTTCTCCCAAGCCAATAAGAGAACCTAAGCTAACCTAATAACGATCTAAACTTCTCCAAGCAAGATCTCCAAGGTTATCCTCCTTTGATATTGTATTCTTCTCTTTCTTCATAACATTACATTACATAAAAGAAACTCGTTTTACATACGAGGGAGTGAGATGAGAAAATAAGTTACATCAAGAATTTTAGAGAGAGGCACGACACGCAGGCCGTATTTTACAATCCCAAAACAAAATAAAGGAAAAAAACTAAGGCCATAACTGATCACCACAAGACAATAATAATAAACACACTTTTATTATTAGTTTAAATTTTGTTAATTAAAAAAAAAGGCAAATTAAATTTCGACGATTGATCACACTACACAGAGTTAGCCGGGGGTTCCGCTGCCCGGTCAGCGGACGGTGGTTCAAGGGGGCAGCGCCCCTTTGCGGGGTTGTCAGGGGCAGCGCCCCGGCGCAAAATTTTAATGAACAATTCATTTGAAATCGGCGTCATTTTCGCACAACTCTTGTGCATTCACAACCCTAATCGCATAACTCTGCAACAACACAACCCTTGTGCCGTCATGAACCCTAATGCAACAGTTTCATGTTGTCAAACACATTTCAATTGATAATTCAGTATGATTAATCACATGCCATTGCTTCACCATACTAATGTCGGATTCCGAAGCATATGAACAGTGATCAGTCAAAGGAATAACAATCATCAAGTGTTTGAATGAATGAAACAGAAACAGTATATCCCATATACCATCGTTGCATCAGATTTACTTATATCATATATAAAAGTGATCGATCTTATTTGTGTAACCTATGGACGATCGATGTATCGCTGCTTCACCATACTAATATCGGATTCCGAAGCATAGTCAACATCAATCATCCAAATCGTACACAACAGATGCCAAATTTAATTACTCGTTTATTATTCAATTCATTCTGGTTTTAATCGAATCAAAACAGAAAATATAGAACATAAACAACTATCAGATCCATGGTTTCGTAAGTGGCTCTGATACCACTGAAGGAAAATTGCGATCAAAAGCGCAGCGGAATTTAAAATTTTCCTTTAGCGATCCTTACGAATGAGCATGGTCAGTGATAGAAATATTTACCTCTTGTGGTGATTCAGACCTTTGATGTTGTGATCACGAGCGTTGATGAAGAACAACGCCTCTACTCAGTCCACACGAATAGATCGCTTCCGGTCACAGTGCTAGCTGATCACGAACGGAAACCTTGAGTGAGAGAGAGAATCAAAAACGAAATTGCATCAAGTGAAATTGCTTCATCACAAGGGATCTATTTATAGAATCACTCGTGTGGGCTACAAGCTAAAAGCCCAATTAAGGCTATAAGCTAAAAGCCCAATTAAGCTTATGGACATCATACCTTATGATGTACCATATACCACTTATCCACGTGGTACCTTACCACTTTCTGTATTACATTTAAGTGCACCGTACCTTACGGTGTTCCTTATTTATTATATCTCTCATCAACCTGTCCTTATGTGTGTGATCCTGTAGGTTTTCGCAACGTTGGCAATTATATTAAATCACACATTTAATACAATAAACAGTGAGCGGTATCTAGCAACACATCACTATTACCCAAGTCACGAAAATGTCATGTGATCTGACCAAACCTTTTCCGTGATAATATTTGTGTTGTACAATTACCCTTTTGCCCTCATGTCTATATTGAACACAAGGCATACACTGTGTCACCCTTGTCCAGTTCAATATTGGGCCCTTAGACATTTATCCTGTTATGCAGGATGAGCAAATTCCATCTAGGTCACTCATGTCCCTTAGCATGCTTTGTGAAGTACCCATCAACCGTCTTTATAGTCATCCAGTTATGGATGACGTTTGATCAGCAATAAAGTACTTGACTCTACATCTAGGGTCCATAGTGGTTTCAGGTCGAAGGGTGATATACACCATTATCATCATGAGAATAACTTATGACACTTTGCATAACATTCTATGTAGTATTCTCATAGCGGGTCAATCCAGTATAAATATTACTCATAATATTCATACCTATGTCAAGACTTGATAACTCCTTATCTATGATCCATGAGATGTGATCATCAATCTATCTTCATAATAATCTTAATGCTTTAATGTTATCCCACTTCACATTAAAGCTTGACTACGGATACTTTAAGAATAATGTCTTATGTTTAATGGGATCTCATGATTAAGTCACACTTAACATTTCATTAAACAAATAAGCCATTCTAGGGACTTTATTATTTTGGAAAGCAAACATAATGAAGAAATGCCTTTTATTATTAATAAATAATTCGATACAAGTACCAAAAGTATTGGCCTCTAGGGCTTACACCAACAATTGCACCATAGTTCTAGTTAGGTTGAAGCACTGTAATGTTAATCTTGCTGCCATTTTACTTTCCAGTCAAGTTTACTTTCAAGTGTACCAGTTTAAAGTCTCCAATTTGGAGCAGGTTTCTTATTCAAGTTTTTCGCATTTATATTTTACTTACCCTGGACTTTCTTTACTTTACTTATTTCCTTGCTTTATCTTTGTTTACTTGTTTATTATCTTGCATGATTTACTTGCTTGTTAAGTTTTACAAAAACCTTTATCTTCAAAGCATTTTCTTTTCCGCTGTCTATATTTGAAAAACCATTCGCACACCTAACACTTATTTTCAACATGATTTATTCTGCTATGTTGATTCCTGGTTTCATATCTGGCTAAAACTTTAAGGGCTAGCATATAAGGATCGTCGTTATCACTACAACATTTGTTGTCTTTGGCAACACTTTTTTAGGTAACATGTAGAAATTGTTGCCTTAAATTCATATAGGCAACGATTTACGATTGTTGTCAAAAATATGTTTGTAACCCTTGATAATCGTTGCCTAAAATACTTTTGGTGACGTTTATGGAGCGATACTCTTTTATTTTTTTGCCAACGGTTGTTAATTGTGCCCTTAACTGCTTTTGGGGACGATTTTAGAGCGTTAAAATATTATTTATTTAGCAATGTTTGACAATTGTCCCCTAAAATATTTTTGGGGACATTTTTAGATTGTTACATTAGTTCTAATAAAAGACTACATTTCTGAAATGTTGTATAATTTTTTTTAGAATTATCAAATTTTTGGTGGCAATCTTCCCTCCAAAACTTATACACTAAAAAACAAATATTTTTCTCTAAACATTATTAATATATATAAAAAAAAATATTTTTCTAACACAGGAATTTAAAAATAAAAAATTTCAATTAAACAGAAAATAAAAAATTATATATATATATATATATATATATATATATATATATATATATATATATATATATATATATTAGTCTAAAACTTATATATATTTCAATTAAACACGAATTTTTCTAACACATTATTAATATTTCTCTAAAACTTATATATATATATTAAAAAAAATTTCATTAAACAGAAAATAAAAAATTTTCTAACACAGGAATTTAAAATATTTTTCATTACTAGTCCTCTCAATTATTGCCACGTCTTATTAAAAAGGGTACGCAGATAGCAATTGGGCCTGGCCCAAACATATTACCAGCAGGAAGAAAAAAAAAAGAGTAAATGAACAAGATGAGTGGGGCGGGTTTGTGGTGATGTAAAGCCTAGAACGAAAATTGAATAACAAAAAATATAAAAGCCACACCGTCCATTATTCCCTTCCACATTTTTTCTTCGTGTTCTCTCCCTCATCTTCTGTCTCTCTTACCTCACACCTAAAACAACAACAACATAATGAACCCTAGATCAAAACCCGATTCGGCGACGGTGTTGTCCTCCTATCCAGATTCTGGTGGCCTTGGGTGTGGCTATGTGATGAATAGATGGGGCTTCGCGGTGGGTTCGGTATCAATGGCGCTTGGAGATGGTGTCGCGGATGAGAGATCGAGTCCCAGAGGTCTGGGTTTTGTGTCGTGGTTGAGTTGTCGGTGATGTCGTGCGATCTTGGGTTTGCGCAATCTGCCGAAGGCGATGATGACAGTTGCGTCTTTACAAAAGCTGGTGGAGTGGAGGGTTGTTGCGGGAGACACAGTTTCGGGGGATGCAGGAAGTGCGGCGGAAAAGGTAAACTTATGTAACAATTCTTTACTGCATTTGTTTTTAGCTATTCTCACTATCTCCCATCCCTTTCTTAACTGTCTGTCTCTCGCTTTATAGCCTTAGAGAAATAGTTTTTTTAGGAAACATCTTAATGTGTTTGTAAATTGATTGTAGTTTTAAAGGTAATTGATTATGTAGAGAGGTGTTCATAAAAAGGGAAGGGACAAAAGAGAGCTTAGAAAGGGAAGGGACAAAAGAGAGCTTAGAAAGTGACCAGGAATTTACTTCGATCAAAAGGTATTGTCATTTATCATTTATCAGATATACTATACTATATTATAAAATATATAACAAAGTGTTTAATTAAATTATTAAATTTGAGAAAAAGGGTATGTATGTAATGTAATGTTTGTATTGTATGAAATGATATGATATATTGAAAGGAAAGAAAAAAGTAGATGTTACTGAATGAATGAAGGAATGAATGGTAATAGAAGAATGATGCTAGTGTGATTTGGGAGTTCAATAGGTTCTTCTTTTGATGGAGAAAATCAGACATGGCCCCTACATGAATATATTATTTTTCTATAGCTACTAAGATATTGTTGTACTAGAATTTAAAAAGTGAAGGGTAAAAATGTATTTGTGACTATGAACTTAGTATATGAATCTCATATGGGTCTCAATATTAGGGTTTTTTCCAAATATTCTAAAGTTGTATCAGAAAGTAGAGCTTTTAGAATTGTACTTTTGAAGCAGTGGTGGAATTGATGATATATGCTTGAGTTTGATGAGCAAAGAAGACTACATATTGTGGTTTTGTATGGTACAATTTCTAAATATGTGACGTTTTTGAATTATATACAGTTTCTTGAGTTTTGAGAGAATAGGTTTTTCTCTAAATATATAATTCATAATTATATCTGCAAGAACTTGATTATGATCAGTACTGGGAAATGGCCAAAAACAGAAAATATAAAATGCAAACTAAGCCTCTTTTAGTTATACGTTCCTTTCAATATTATTGTTTATTATCAAAATTCATTTTGTTATAATTATTTGATCTTTCTTTCTCTCTGTCATGATTCTCTTTAATGTCACAGTTTTCTACATGTTGGTATAAAGTGACTGAACTTTATGTGAAGAAAAGAAGATATACTAGAGCTGCGTTGCATTTCGTATCGTTGTGTTTGAGTTGAATCTGAGTGTTTTGTAAGTTTCATATTCTAGTATCTTCATTACAGTTCTTTAAATTCTGTTATCACCGCAGTGTCTAAATTGAATCTTACTTTGTTCAGATGCCTAGCAGACAAAAGTCAATTCCCTTTCTTAAATGTTGTTTGTGAATACTGTCTGTCATTTGAAGTTGAGAGGAAGCTAGAAGCTTTGTATGATAAACTAGAGTAGAAGTTTGCAATGGTTTCTGTAGTCGGATTTTCCTAGTTCTCATATGTGAACATGTCCTATTAAAAGTTTCAAAACAGGAATTCATGGTTTAACAAACTTTATAGCTCATCTATTAAGTTTCCAATTGATTTAACAACTGGTTCCTCATCCACCGTTCTTTGAAGTTTTAACAATTTTAACAACCTGATTACTTAAGCGCTGTTCATTAGTCTATAAATTGGAAATCTTGTGACCATTATTCCCATTTCCCTACACATACTCGTCAAGTTTATTATTGTCAAATCTTTAAATAATGCCTCTGTATGAGTCTGCACACATGGGCCAAATACAACATTGGGATCTTGGTTGGTTCCTATTGAGCTTTCTGAAGCATTGCACTGGAAGTTTGTTTGCTATCTAGCATGTTTGAGACTGTAAACCAATGAGTAACTGTGTGATTGATCTTTGACTGATAGCTGTTCACTTAATGTATTTTTTGTTCTTAACAGGGAATCTGTTTGATGATAACAGTCTTGCAGCTGGCTCAATTACCCAATATTAAGGTAGCTAAATGGAATCCTTATATCTACAGTTAATTAACCATTCTTCCTTTTCTTAATTTTTTCTGTTTGTCATCAATTACAATTATTGTCATTTTCTTATTCATCTAATTTAATAGGTTGCGACTGTACTCCTCTCTTCTGCTTTTGCCTACGACATCTTTTGGGTGTTCATATCTCCGTTGATATTCCATGAAAGTGTCATGATTGCAGTAAGTATTCACCTGTACAAGTAATACTTTAGCTCTTCACTTTTATATTTTTAGTGCAGTTTGCATCTTCAAAGGAAATTTTGGTAGAAAATGAGGAGAAACTAGAAAATGTAGTCAGAGGACAAAGTATCCTTTTAGCATAGTGTTTCGTGCTATGTCCACCAAGTGTTCGGTAAAATTTCTGAACGAATATTTTTCTTATTGGGCATCCTAGAATCCAAGAGTTGCTCTTCAACCGCCGAGAATGGTGAGAATTTCTTACACCTTTCCCTCTTTTTCATTTTTCATTTTCGGTTTTTTAACTTCTCTTGTAGCGTCTCTGAGGATGGGATTCCATCCAAATTTCCTCTCTCATTTCGCACTAGATCAGAGCTTCACTTTGCACTTCAATTGTTCCATAAAGCGGTTTGTTTTTATGTATTCATATCGATGAAAGTTTGTAAATCTATTTACACTGTACATGCAATTCTGCATTTGGAAGATAATTCTGGATTTGCACTCATACCTCAAGTCATACACTTGTAATTAATCTATGAGTTTTTGTTAATGTTCGCTTCATAATCTTTGCCCAAGTATTTTTCTGAATCTGGTTTGCTTGCTTATATCAGACTGGGGCTATGGATGTGTCAGAGTCAGGACGTGAATATGGGGCTAAAAACACTGACGACACCCCTGTGACGGGCACTTCTCAGAAAACTCGAGGGGGTAAGTTATTCACATTTAACTGGTTATCTCGTTTGTGCAATCTGTTGTGCTATGCTTGTAAATGTATGTTTCGATAGTTGATGATTTATTGAACTCGTGTCTCGATGCATTATTACTAGCCAAGCTATAAATTGTTGCTTTAGGAAGGATGTGTGTCAAGTTTAACATCACTGTGAAAACTCTATTAAATTACATAGTCTCTTGTGTTAATGATAGTCATGCAAGTTTGATATTTAAGTGTACTAATGCTTACTCTCTAGAGCTTATATATCATTTAATGATTTCATGATTTGATTATGATGAACGGACACTTTTTGGCATATGAAAACTAGACTTTTATTATGTTACCCTATTTATTTCACATACTATACAACCACCGGTGAATGTTAATAGATTTTAAACGGTGAATCCATGCATTTAGTTCCTTATAGGCATTTGTTTCACGTGTAGAAGTGTAAGAGAGCATCGTGTATTAACCTAAGCTTCATTGTTTTGCTTATGTATCATTTAGTTTTATTCTTATTATGATGGGGTTCCATAATTGATTCCTCATTGTCATATAATGCGCTGAATGTTTGTGATTAGTTGGGCATCTTTTCATATGATGCAATTTGCAAATACAATTTTGTGATTTCATGATGTTGGTTGGATACAAGTCACTCATTGGGCAATTTTTTCCCCTTCGTAACAGGTGCTGAATCTCGATTTCGGAAAAGAAGCAAATATTTATCTTACCCCTACACAAATAGTGAACCAAGACTTAAAAGTTTTCCAGCTGAAACAGAAGAATCAAACACTCCAAGTCCCACCCCTAAAGCAAAAGCTTCAAGCAGAACCAGTAATCCTAAAAATGGATCTCTTTCATCAACTAAATTGGGTGGCACGAGGTTCCAAAATAACTGGTACAGAAAATTCATCAGCTGTAGTAAAATGTCTAGCAGTCCAAAATTCATCGGTGCATCTTCCAGTGACTTACTTTCAAGAGGTTTAATTCTTGTTGATTCTTGTTGATGTCTTAATTGTCCTTTGGACCAAAAATACTTATGGTTAATGTGTTTTATTTTATTTTCTTATGCAGCAATGTATCAATGAAGATGTTGAAGAGGACGATATAAATGATGAAATTCAAGAGGACGACATAAATGATAAAATTCAAGAGGACGACCTAAATGATAAAATTCAAGAGGACGACGTAGATGACGAATTTCAAGAGGACGACATAGATCTAGATGATGAATTTCAAGAGGAGGATATAGATGGTGAATTTCAAGAGGACGACGTAGATGAAGAATTTATGGAGGATGACATATCTAACGAATTTCAAGAGGACGATCTGGATGCTTTACTCCTAGAAGACAAACTTGAATGAGTTGGATGATGTCTTTTTTTTGGCTTGTAGTTGAAAGCATTAAACTTGAAATATGATTTTTGTTCTTTTGCTGAACTATGTTTTTAGTTATTTTACTAGGGTCATACTTCAAAGTATTAAAAATAATATTGTTACGTTAGGCATTTTGTGTACTCTATATACTATATCTTGAATTAAAGTTTGAACTCGATTTTATTATATTACAACTTTTATGTATGTATGGTTTAAGTTATATAATCAATATTATTTTTGAAGCCAATTATTATTGACTATATTATTTTGATAATAATTGCAAAATTGTATATTTTATGTGGACACTATAAAACAACAACCTATAAGCTATGGCTACACTTCAAAAATGATCTTCCTGATTCAGGTTTAAGGCAACGATTGTTAATTGTAGCCGAATTTGGCAACGCAACGCTTAAAAAACGTTGTCTCAGAGGCCGTAAATAATCGTCCCCTATTCCTTTACTATAGGCAACGTTTTTCAAAAGCGTTTCCAAAAAACATAAAAAAACGTCGCCTCAAACAATAGGCAACGCTCGCACAGGAGACGCCTAAAAAACGTCCCCTATTGTTTTAGGCAACGATTTTCAGAGTTCTGGCAACGTTTTTCAATTGTTGCTGGAGAGCCTAAATGTTGTAGATGGTAATCCACATGTCGAATCTGTAGAAGTGCTTTATGGGCTATTTTGGTTTTAATTCAAGTTTTAAGTACTTAGTTTGATCGGTAACTACGAAAGTAGAGCCGAGATATAGTTGGGTAAGATTGAAAGTCGTCTGACTGTTAAAGATAAACTTGGTTAGTTTTATCTGGTCAAAGATAGCAAAAGCACTTTGTCTGGTTAATTAGGAGTTTTTAACACTATTAGAAAACGATTTTGAAACTATCTTCAGACGCGTTTATGGGTTTAAAATCTGGTTCCTTGAGCTAAAGCCTTGGATCCCTTTTAAGTTAAATATTCAAAATCAAAACCACTTTTCAACTTAGTCAAGAGTTTAATTTCTTAAAAATAGGTTTACTACTTTAACGCGACAAACACTTTTCATAAGTGACAATGAAAGACATTAATTAAAGAGTAAACTCGATTTTGAATACGCGAAAGCGACAGTTTCTGTCAAATTGATTCTTCTCAAAGTAGAACATATTGCCCCATAAATAATTCTATTTAGAAACAATTGGAGTACTACCTGACTGCTGTGAGTTACATTCAAGCCTGCATTTAAAATGGATTTATTTTCTTCATTATTTCTTTTTATGTGCAATCAAAATACTTATTTGATTTGCCTTAGATAAACACCATAATAATAATAATCGATAGGTTGACAATTGATCTCAGTGGGAACGATAACATTTTGTATTATTTTGACGTTTTCCGTATACTTGCAGATAGTACCCATCATTTAATGAAAATGCTTTGAAGACGAAGAAGATTCTTGAAGAAGCTGATGGACCAAAAGGGTTTGCAACAAAGAATTTCAAAAAACTTATGAAGTTGGTTTCAAGCTCTTGACTTATGCATGCAACCAATATTATTATTATTATTATTATTAAATAAAAAACAATGTACTATTTCTTTTATGTATCTTATGGTGGGTGTATGTGTTTTGCTGTTGCTGCTGTTGTGATATTTTCAAAATGAGTGACTGAGTGTAAGTGAATAATGTATCTTTCATGTCTCAAATTCTTCATCTTTCACGTCCTTCAATAATGTGCGTCTCAAGAGATATCTATTGAGTTTTATCTTATGTCTCTATAGTTAATCTTCAGCTTTATTAATTTACTTCTTTTTCTATCTCAAACCAAATCATCACTAGTTTCTTTCTTTTCGTTGGATTCAAGTGCAATACCATTTTGTGAATATCTTCTTCAATAGAAATAATTTATTTTCATGGATATAAACAAAGTCCTAGAAAGATAAGGATGTAAAAAACAAAAAAAATGAGATTAAGGGTTTTTTTATAAGCAACTTGTATACTATATTATTAAATAAAAAACAATGTACTATTTCTTTTAGGTATGTTAAGGTTGACGTATGTGTTTTATTGTTACATTTGTTTTATTATATTTTCAAAATGAGTGATTAAGTGTAAGTGAATAATGTATCTTTTATGTCTCAAATTCTTCATCTTTCATTTTCTTCAATGATTTGTGCCTTAAGAAGTATCTATTCCGTTTTATCTTATCTATCTATAAATCTTCAGTTTCATTAGTTTATTGTTTTTTCTATCTCAAACCAAATCTCGCTAAGTCTAACCTGTAATACTTGATTTTCTTTCAAAAATGCATCTTAAAAATTTTCTTTGTTCTTTAACGCCCAATAATTTTTAAATGCAATGAAACCTTAAAAAAAAAATACAAATGATAAAATTAAATGATATTTACATAAAAGTTGAGATTTTGACAAAAAAAACAAAAAACAATCTAATAAGTGCCACAAAATACTACTAAAATTAACCATAATTTGACACTTATCAATAGATCACCCACAATCAATCATAACCATTAAATTTATTTATTATTAAATCAATGATTATTTTACTAGTTCACTATGATGAAGAAATAATTTAACTTTATCATTTTATCCTTCTCCTAAAGTAATTTAATGTTAATATTATATTTGATGTTACCCAGTGGTGGAGCCATCTAGGGTGCAAACTTTTAATTTTTAATTAATAATTATATTAATATATATTAAAAAAATAATTTATTTACAAAATTACACATACTTTACAATTATACTCTACGTATTTATGATATAAAAATATTAAATAATCAATCATTTTTAATTTTATTGAACACGTCTTTTTTCGATATTTAAATTCATATAATAAATATTAATTAATATTGACCTAGTTTAACTTACAGAAAATCAATTTTTAATAATTTATATTTAAGTGATTTTTGAGTTTACAAATAATTTTTAATAATTATTTTATTTAATATTTAAATTTATAAGAATTATAAAATATGAGTTTTTCAAATTTGAAATACTTTTCATTTTATTAAGTGAATTCTAGAAGAAAAAAAAGCTAAACAAAACAATTTTCATTCGTATTTTTTACTATTTATTAGTAAATAAAATTTCAACAATCTTAAATAGAACAAATTCTAAAATTAATTAAAAAACAAAACAAACTCTAATATCATGGACAATTAAATAGTACTAAGCAAATTAAATAATTATGAATAGTATATTATTTAAATTAAATTTTTTGAAAGAATAAATAAATATCATAATTTTTTTGAAAGAGTTTAGAACAAAAGAAAATATGAAATCTAAAAATAAAAGCAAATAATTTATTTAAATTTTGAGTTAATGGTACAAAGTCCATTTTTGAGTGGGCTCAAAAAACATATTATAAAAAAGTTTAGGCTATTTTTTAAAAAGCCTTACTATATTAAGATTTCAATTACTTTCATTACATTTAAAACAGTTGTAAATTTAAAGAGATTAAACAAATTATTTAATTTTATAATTCAAAATATTAATATAAACACATTTAAAAACCACAATCTTTTTTATTAAGGCTTAATTAGACAATTAAGTGTGTGTAAATAAAAAGTTAATCTTGTAAATATAAACACATTAGAAAAAAGAGTGAAAGGAATCAATCACGAACTCAATTCTCCACTCACGTGTAAACAAAAAAATCAAAACCCCTTTCTTCAGATTCTCAACGGTCATTCTCACTTTCACCATCTCATTCTCAACACAAAGCTCTCCTTCGAGGTTTTCCGCCGAAATCGGATCCAGCAACTCTCCCCCATAGCAAGAAACGTAAGCACCGAGCATCCAAGAAGAAGAAGAAACCTCTCGATCCCGTTGATTCCGTCGATGATTCATGCGATCCAAATCAAAAGAATGAATTGCCGATTGTAAATGGACGAGCATGTAACGGTGTTGGGATTGGCGGAATGAGGTATTGCGGTAATGGAGGAAACTATTGAAACGAGTGTCTGTGTTGTTGCTGCGGTGCCTGATGTTGGTTCTTCGTTTACCGAGGCGAGGAGGGGAAGATAATGACATTGATAAAAAAACCTCTCCGTAAAGAAAGAACAGACTTAGAGCTTAGAGACGAATGCACCAAAGAAAGGTAAAGGTCAGACTCCTAATTCTAAGCAGCCTCCGATTCTTGCAACTCTCACATGAATTTACTTTTTTTTTCGCTTTCACTAAGGGACAGAGTCTGTCTTTACAGCACAGTAGGGAGATAAAATTCATGTACTAGAGAGGAAAGTCCCTCCTTGGAGCTCGTCCATTCGTTAGGTGATCCCTTGCTCTCACGTTCGAGTGTTTGCTCGTCGTTTAGGCCGGTTAGTTAGATTTCTGCTCATTGCAGTCACCTCCGGGGTTCTTCGCACCTGGATAGTACCAGGACCCTTGTGCCCCGGCCCTTGATCAGATAAATCCGCCCTTAAACCAAAAACTACAAATGAGCCTTGCGACAAGACGCGGACATCCCCCATGCTGCGGTTCCCTCCGGTCGCGACGAGCGTGCGTGGGAATGTAGAAGGGTTTAATTTCGGTGAATTGCATGTATGTTAATCGTTTTTATTACGGATGTTTTTTATTACCATGTGGAGATGCACCGAGTCTTTCAAAACAAAGAGATGAAACCCTTTATATTCGGGTATGCGTACTCACAATGCATTGTTCCATTCTCAATTTTCGTAACATATATCTAATTTCCACTTTTCATCTCATTTTCTGATATATTATGAAATTGCAAGAGTGCAGTGCAAGAAGATTCTCCGGCAGTTTCTTCGCCCGAGGTAGAACATTTTATCTTCACCTCAATTAAACTCGGTCTATGCTTAACTGTTTTGACATCATGCAACATGATGAATAATCTTCTTTCCCTTTTAAGGTTTCTCCAGCGCATGTTAATGTTCATGTGTAATTTTATCATTGCAGTTAAAAGCTATTCTTTTAGATCCTTCCTGCTCAGGCTCTGGTACTGCCGCTTTTAGACTAGACCATATGCTTCTATCTAAAGCAACAGGTGATATTGACACGGAAAGATTGAACAAGCTTGCAGCTTTCCAGAGAAAAGCTCTTCAGCATGCCTTCCTTTGTGAGTTAGTTTGTTACTCGTTCCAACTCTATTTTATTTTGTTCCTTAAGTACTTAAAATAATTGTTTCTTTTACACTAAAGCTATTGAAAAGAGTGTCTGTGTTGTTGCTGCGGTGCCTGATGTTGGTTCTTCGTTTGCGACGAGCGTGCGTGGGAGTGTAGAAGGGTTTAATTTCGGTGAATTGCATGTATGCTAATCGTTTTTATTACAGATGTTTTTTATTACCATGTGGAGATGAACCGAGTCTTTCAAAACAATGAGATGAAACCCTTTATAATCGGGTATGCGTACTCACATTGCATTGTTCCATTCTCAATTTTCGTAACATATATCTAATTTTCACTTTTCATCTCATTTTCTGATATATTATGAAATTGCAAGAGTGCAGTGCAAGAAGATTCTCCAGGTAGTTCAATTACAGTTTCTTCGCCCGAGGTAGAACATTTTATCTTCACCTCAATTAAACTCGGTCTATGCTTAACTGTTTTGACATCATGCAACATGATGAATAATAATCTTCTTTCCCTTTTAAGGTTTCTCCGGCGCATGCTCGAATTTACTATAGGGATGTATGGCTTTTGGGAAAGCCTTGCAATACAAAGTTAGCTTGGTGCTTAGTACAAAAATATAGTTATAATTTTGGGAAAGCCTTGCAATACAAAGTTAGCTTAGAGCATGTGTAAAATAGAAGTTACACCTAATTCCTAATGTTAATGTTCATGTGTAATTTTATTGCAGTGCATTAATATGCTTGAAGAATGCTCCAAATATTCCAGCAAAACACTTTCACACTGACTCGTTTAGATGAAAACAGAGTGACATGTCAGGTAAGAAGCGTATAAATTTAGCTGCTTTACAAAGAATTTTTTTTCTGCAGAAGAAGAAATAACAACAATCTTCTTTGCATATTTGTATGTTGACCTGTGAATGTGATAGTTACTTTCATTTGTAGTAATCAGTACTGGTTGTTGTATATGTAATTAATATGAAGGTGCTGAAGTTGTGGTTATTTTGTTTGTTATGGAAATATCAAAGTGAATGAAATTACTAATATTGTTGTAATTATATCTTGTTCTGCTGATTAAAATAAGTTGCAAGTATTAAATTATGGTTTGCATTAATGAAGATCTTGTTCATAATACAGTAGTATTTCAATTTCTATCAGAGAACTAACCGAATTTAAGTACTTCTTCATGAAATCAAAGAAGTTATTCTTTAAAGGTGATGAACATTAGAAGAGTCAGTGCCACAACATTACTTTAGTAATCAAGTCTTTTTGTATGACGGTTTTAGTATAAGTTTTTGCACATATTTTAAATGTTTGATCTCTTATCACATATCTATTGCTGCATGTTTTTATTTTATTTTTACATTTAGATAGTCTATTTGTATTGGCCACTAATTTCTGTATGTATTTACATATATTTCTATCGAGCAGCTTATGTTCCAAATTTGTACCAACCAGATGCAGCAAACATTGGACTTGAAGAAAAGAAATGCCTCTTTTCGGCAGAAGGACTTCAAAAATGCAATCGATTGCTACATCCAGGTTAATCATATTTCTGGTTCTTAAGTAGGTTATTTGAAACATATCTATCACTTGATGCGCTCTTTTGGAGGAACTGTGCCTTACGGCTGATGGTTTTGCTCTGTAATGCATGTTATTGATGTTGGAAGCATGACTTCTCCAACAATTTACGTGTGCCATAGTCTGTCTTATCTCATAAGCAATATGCCAATTGAAACACTTGGTGATGCAATGCAGGCACAAATGATATCTCCTATTTGGCACCTTGCCTTTTATTTACAAGTTGTTGCTCTTATGGCACTTGGAAGAGAGAATGATCCTCAAATTAATTGAAACTAAAAAGACCACAGATTAAGAGAGAATGATCATAATAATTTTTATTATGATTAATTGTTATGATGTTTTCAGTTGATTTGTTAGTATATCTTATTATCTCTCACCCGCGCCCTTATAGTAACCCTCTGTAAGGTGTCTAGATTATGTTTTACTTCTTCAGGTTCATATTAGTTTTTCACTTTAAATGTATTTCAAGGTTCTTGATGCATGTGTGGCACCAGGCAACAAAATTGTCCACCTTGCTGCTCTTATGAAGAGAAAGGGTAGGATTATAGCATGTGAGCTGAAAAAGGAAAGGATTAAACGCTTGAATGACACCATAAAGCTATCTGGGGTTTCCAATATCCAATATTGTGTCTATAATAATCAAGATGCTTTTCAACCGATAGTTAATTCAATGTTACAATAATCACAAAATTTGCTTTTTATTTTATCATACATGCGAGTAGTTGTTCAGAACTTTTTTCTTCATACTGTACCATGATGCCTCTCGAACGGAGGTGCACACTGTAAATTTTGATACCATTTATTCGGTTATTAAATTTTAGTTTGTGTTGCCATGCTTCTAACTTAACGCTAAATTCAGACATAAAGGTTCTCAATGAGGATTTCTTGAACATAAATTTGTAGGAACCTTCATATTCTAAGGTAAAGTATATTTTACTAAGTTACTAATCCCTAATGTTTTTCATTCATGTTAATTGTTCGTTTAGTGTGTAACTGTTATCAGTTTTATCATTGCAGTTAAAAGCTATTCTTTTAGATCCTTCCTGCTCAGGCTCTGGTACTGTCGCTTCTAGACTAGACCATCTGCTTCTATCTAAAGCAACAGATGATATTGACACGGAAAGATTGAACAAGCTTGCAGCTTTCCAGAGAAAAGCTCTTCAGCATGCCTTCCTTGGTGAGTTAGTTTGTTACTCGTTCCAACTCTATTTTATTTTGTTCCTTAAGTACTTAAAATAATTGTTTCTTTTACACTAAAGCTATTGAAACGAGTGTCTGTGTTGTTGCTGCGGTGCCTGATGTTGGTTCTTCGTTTGCGACGAGCGTGCGTGGGAGTGTAGAAGGGTTTAATTTCGGTGAATTGCATGTATGCTAATCGTTTTTATTATAGATGTTTTTTATTACCATGTGGAGATGAACCGAGTCTTTCAAAACAATGAGATGAAACCCTTTATTAATCGGGTATGCGTACTCACATTGCATTGTTCCATTCTCAATTTTCGTAACATATATCTAATTTTCACTTTTCATCTCATTTTCTGATATATTATGAAATTGCAAGAGTGCAGTGCAAGAAGATTCTCCAGGTAGTTCAATTACAGTTTCTTCGCCCGAGGTAGAACATTTTATCTTCACCTCAATTAAACTCGGTCTATGCTTAATTGTTTTGACATCATGCAACATGATGAATAATAATCTTCTTTCCCTTTTAAGGTTTCTCCGGCGCATGCTCGAATTTACTATAGGGATGTATGGCTTTTGGGAAAGCCTTGCAATACAAAGTTAGCTTGGTGCTTAGTACAAAAATATAGTTATAATTTTGGGAAAGCCTTGCAATACAAAGTTAGCTTATAGCTTCATGTGTAAAATAGAAGTTACACCTAATTCCTAATGTTAATGTTCATGTGTAATTTTATTGCAGTGCATTAATATGCTTGAAGAATGCTCCAAATATTCCAGCAAAACACTTTCACACTGACTCGTTTAGATGAAAACAGGGTGACATGTCAGGTAAGAAGCGTATAAATTTAGCTGCTTTACAAAGAATTTTTTTTCTGCAGAAGAAGAAATAACAACAATCTTCTTTGCATATTTGTATGTTGACCTGTGAATGTGATAGTTGCTTTCATTTGTAGTAATCAGTACTGGTTGTTGTATATGTAATTAATATGAAGGTGCTGAAGTTGTGGTTATTTTGTTTGTTATGGAAATTTCAAAGTGAATGAAATTACTAATATTGTTGTAATTATATCTTGTTCTGCTGATTAAAATAAGTTGCAAGTATTAAATTATGGTTTGCATTAATGAAGAACTTGTTCATAATACAGTAGTATTTCAATTTCTATCAGAGAACTAACTGAATTTAAGTACTTCTTCATGAAATCAAAGAAGTTATTCTTTAAAGGTGATGAACATTAGAAGAGTTAGTGCCACAACATTACTTTAGTAATCAAGTCTTTTTGTATGACGGTTTTAGTATAAGTTTTTGCATATATTTTAAATGTTTGATCTCTTATCACATATCTATTGCTGCATGTTTTTATTTTATTTTTACATTTAGATAGTCTATTTGTATTGGCCACTAATTTCTGTATGTATTTACATATATTTCTATCGAGCAGCTTATGTTCCAAATGTGTACCAACCAGATGCAGCAAACATTGGACTTGAAGAAAAGAAATGCCTCTTTTCGGCAGAAGGACTTCAAAAATTCAATCGATTGCTACATCCAGGTTAATCATACATGATCTCTCTCTCTCTCTCTCTCACTCTCTCTCTCTCTCTCTCACACACACACACACACACTATCTCTCTCTCTCTCTCTCTCTCTCTCTCTCTCCTCTCTCTCTCTCTCTCTCTCTACTCTCTCTCTCTCTCTCTCTCTCGGCACTTGGAAGAGAGAATGATCCTCAAATTAATTGAAACTAAAAATATCACAAATTAAGAGAGAATGATCATAATAATTTTTATTATGATTAATTGTTATGATGTTTTCAGTTGATTTGTTAGTATATCTTATTATCTCTCACCTGCGCCCTTATGGTAACCCTCTGTAAGGTGTCTGGATTATGTTTTACTTCTTCCGGTTCATATTAGTTTTTCACTTTAAATGTATTTCAAGGTTCTTGATGCATGTGTGGCACCAGGCAATAAAACTGTCCACCTTGCTGCTCTTATGAAGAGAAAGGGTAGGATTATAGCATGGGAGCTTAAAAAGGAAAGGATTAAACGCTTGAATGACACCATAAAGATATCTGGGGTTTCCAATATCCAATATTGTGTCTATAATAATCAAGAAGCTTTTCAACCGATAGTTAATTCAATGTTACAATAATGACAAAATTTGTTTTTTTTTATCATACATGCGAGTAGTTGTTCAGATCTTTTTTCTGCATACTGTACCATGATGCCTCTCGAACAGAGGAGCACACTGTAAATTTTGATACCATTTATTCGGTTATTAAATTTTAGTTTGTGTTGCCATGCTTCTAACTTAACGTTAAGTTCAGACATAAAGGTTCTCAATGAGGATTTCTTGAACATAAATTTGAAGGACCCTTCATATTCTAAGGTAAAGTATATTTTACTAAGTTACTAATCCCTAATGTTTTTCATTCATGTTACTTGTTCGTTTAGTGTGTAACTGTTATCAGTTTTATCATTGTAGTTAAAAGCTATTCTTTTAAATCCTTCCTGCTCAGGCTCTGGTACTGCCGCTTCTAGACTAACCATCAGCTTCTATCTAAAGCATCAGGTGATATTGACACGGAAAGATTGAACAAGCTTGCAGCTTTCCAGAGAAAAGCTCTTCAGCATGTCTTCCTTTGTGAGTTAGTTTGTTACTCATTGCCAACTCTAATTTATTTTGTTCCTTAAGTACTTAAAAGAATTGTTTCTTTTACACTAAAGCTATTGAAACGAGTGCCTGTGTTGTTGCTGCGGTGCCTGATGTTGGTTCTTCGTTTGCGACGAGCGTGCGTGGGAGTGTAGAAGTGTTTAATTTCGGTGAATTGCATGTATGCTAATCGTTTTTATTACAGATGTTTTTTATTACCATGTGGAGATGAACCGAGTCTTTCAAAACAATGAGATGAAACCCTTTATAATCGGGTATGCGTACTCACATTGCATTGTTCCATTCTCAATTTTCGTAACATATATCTAATTTTCACTTTTCATCTCATTTTCTGATATATTATGAAATTGCAAGAGTGCAGTGCAAGAAGATTCTCCGGGTAGTCAATTACAGTTTCTTCGCCCGAGGTAGAACATTTTATCTTCACCTCAATTAAACTCAGTCTATGCTTAATTGTTTTGACATCATGCAACATGATGAATAATCTTCTTTCCCTTTTAAGGTTTCTCCGGCGCATGCTCGAATTTACTATAGGGATGTATGGCTTTTGGGAAAGCCTTGCAATACAAAGATAGCTTGGTGCTTAGTACAAAAATATAGTTATAATTTTGGGAAAGCCTTGCAATACAAAGTTAGCTTGGAACTTCATGTGTAAAATAGAAGTTACACCTAATTCCTAATGTTAATGTTCATGTGTAATTTTATTGCAGTGCATTAATATGCTTGAAGAATGCTCCAAATATTCCAGCAAAACACTTTCACATTGACTCGTTTAGATGAAAACAGGGTGACATGTCAGGTAAGAAGCGTATAAATTTAGCTGCTTTACAAAGAAATTTTTTTCTGCAGAAGAAGAAATAACAACAATCTTCTTTGCATATTTGTATGTTGACCTGTGAATGTGATAGTTGCTTTCATTTGTAGTAATCAGTACTGGTTGTTGTATATGTAATTAATATGAAGGTGTTGAAGTTGTGGTTATTTTGTTTGTTATGGAAATATCAAAGTGAATGAAATTACTAATATTGTTGTAATTATATCTTGTTCTGCTGATTAAAATAAAGTTGCAAGTATTAAATTATGGTTTGCATTAATGAAGAACTTGTTCATAATACAGTAGTATTTCAATTTCTATCAGAGAACTAACCGAATTTAAGTACTTCTTCATGAAATCAAAGAAGTTATTCTTTAAAGGTGATGAACATTAGAAGAGTCAGTGCCACAACATTACTTTAGTAATAAAGAGTCTTTTTGTATGACGGTTTTAGTAGAAGTTTTTGCATATATTTTAAATGTTTGATCTCTTATCACATATCTATTGCTGCATGATTTTTTGTTGTTTTACATTAGATAGTCTATTTGTATTTGCCTCTAATTTATATATGTATTTCTATCGCGCAGCTTATGTTCCAAATGTGTACCAACCAAATGCAGCAAACATTGGAATTGAAGAAAAGAGATGCCTCTTTTCGCAGAATGACTTCAAAAATGCAATCGATTGCTACATCCAGGTTAATCATGCATGATCTCTCTCTCTCTCTCTCTCTCTCTCTCTCTCTCTCGCTCTCTCTCTCTCTCTCTCTCTCTCTCTCTCTCTCTCTCTCTCTCTCTCACTCTCCGCTCTCTCTCTCTCTCTCTCTCTCTCTCTCTCTCTCTCTCTCTCTCTCTCTCTCTCTCTGTCTCTCTCTCACTATCTCTCTCACTCACTCACACTCTCTCTCTCTCTCTCTATCTCTCTCTCTCTCTCTCTCTCTCTCTCTCTCTCTCTCCTCTCTCTCTCTCTCTCTCTCTCATGGCACTTGGAAGAGAGAATGATCCTCAAATTAATTGAAACTAAAAAGACCACAAATTCAGAGAGAATGATCATAATAATTTTTATTATGATTAATTGTTATGATATTTTCAGTTGATTTGTTAGTATATCTTATTATCTCTCACATGCGCCCTTATAGTAACCCTCTGTAAGGTGTCTAGATTATGTTTTACTTCTTCCGGTTCATATTAGTTTTTCACTTTAAATGTATTTCAAGGTTCTTGATGCATGTGTGGCACCAGGCAATAAAACTGTCCACCTTGCTGCTCTTATGACGAGAAAGGGTAGTATTATAGCATGTGAGCTGAAAAAGGAAAGGATTAAACGCTGGGAATGACACCATAAAGCTATCTGGGGTTTCCAATATCCAATATTGTGTCTATAATAATCAAGAAGCTTTTCAACCGATAGTTAATTCAATGTTACAATAATGACAAAATTTGCTTTTTTTTTATCATACATGCGAGTAGTTGTTCAGATCTTTTTTCTGCATACTGTACCATGATGCCTCTCGAACAGAGGAGCACACTGTAAATTTTGATACCATTTATTCGGTTATTAAATTTTAGTTTGTGTTGCCATGCTTCTAACATAACGCTAAGTTCAGACATAAAGGTTCTCAATGAGGATTTCTTGAACATAAATTTGAAGGACCCTTCATATTCTAAGGTAAAGTATATTTTACTAAGTTAATAATCCCTAATGTTTTTCATTCATGTTACTTGTTCGTTTAGTGTGTAACTGTTATCAGTTTTATCATTGCAGTTAAAAGCTATTCTTTTAGATCCTTCCTGCTCAGGCTCTGGTACTGCCGCTTCTAGACTAACCATCTGCTTCTATCTAAAGCATCAGGTGATATTGACACGGAAAGATTGAACAAGCTTGCAGCTTTCCAGAGAAAAGCTCTTCAGCATGCCTTCCTTTGTGAGTTAGTTTGTTACTCATTGCCAACTCTAATTTATTTTGTTCCTAGTACTTAAAAGAATTGTTTCTTTTACACTAAAGCTATTGAAACGACTGCCTGTGTTGTTGCTGCGGTGCCTGATGTTGGTTCTTCGTTTGCGACGAGCGTGCGTGGGAGTGTAGAAAGGTTTAATTTCGGTGAATTGCATGTATGCTAATCATTTTTATTACAGATGTTTTTTATTACCATGTGGAGATGAACCGAGTCTTTCAAAACAATGAGATGAAACCCTTTATAATCGGGTATGCGTACTCACATTGCATTGTTCCATTCTCAATTTTCGTAACATATATCTAATTTTCACTTTTCATCTCATTTTCTGATATATTATGAAATTGCAAGAGTGCAGTGCAAGAAGATTCTCCGTGTAGTCAATTACAGTTTCTTCGCCCGAGGTAGAACATTTTATCTTCACCTCAATTAAACTCAGTCTATGCTTAATTGTTTTGACATCATGCAACATGATGAATAATCTTCTTTCCCTTTTAAGGTTTCTCCGGCGCATGCTCGAATTTACTATAGGGATGTATGGCTTTTGGGAAAGCCATTGCAATACAAAGATAGCTTGGTGCTTAGTACAAAAATATAGTTATAATTTTGGGAAAGCCTTGCAATACAAAGTTAGCTTGGAGCTTCATGTGTAAAATAGAAGTTACACCCAATTCTAATGTTAATGTTCATGTGTAATTTTATTGCAGTGCATTAATATGCTTGAAGAATGCTCCAAATATTCCAGCAAAACATTTTCACACTGACTCGTTTAGATGAAAACAGGGTGACATGTCAGGTAAGAAGCGTATAAATTTAGCTGCTTTACAAAGAAATTTTTTTCTGCAGAAGAAGAAATAACAACAGTCTTCTTTGCATATTTGTATGTTGACCTGTTGAATGTGATAGTTGCTTTCATTTGTAGTAATCACTACTGATTGTTGTATATTTAATTAATATGAAGGTGCTGAAGTTGTGGTTATTTTGTTTGTTATGGAATATCAAAGTGAATGAAATTACTAATATTGTTGTAATTATATCTTGTTCTGCTGATTAAAATAAGTTGCAAGTATTAAATTATGGTTTGCATTAATGAAGAACTTGTTCATAATACAGTAGTATTTCAATTTCTATCAGAGAACTAACCGAATTTAAGTACTTCTTCATGAAATCAAAGAAGTTATTCTTTAAAGGTGATGAACATTAGAAGAGTCAGTGCCACAACATTACTTTAGTAATCAAGTCTTTTTGTATGACGGTTTTAGTATAAGTTTTTGCATATATTTTAAATGTTTGATTTCTTATCACATGTCTATTGCCGCATGTTTTTTTTTGTTTTACATTTAGATAGTCTATTTGTATTTGCCACTAATTTATATATGTATTTCTATCGCGCAGCTTATGTTCCAAATGTGTACCAACCAGATGCAGCAAACATTGGACTTGAAGAAAAGAGATGCCTCTTTTCGGCAGAAGGACTTCAAAAATGCAATCGATTGCTACATCCAGGTTAATCATACATGATCTCTCTCTCTCTCTCTCTCTCTCTCTCTCTCCTCTCTCTCTCTCTCTCTCTCCTCCTCTCTCTCTCTCTCTCTCTCTCTCTCTCCGCTCTCGCTCTCGCTCTCAGTCTCTCTCTCTCTCTCTCTCTCTCTCCTCTCTCTCTCTCTCTCTCTCTCTCTCTCTCTATCTCTATCTCTATCTCTATCTCTATCCTCTATCTCTATCTCTCTCTCTCTCTCTCTCTCTCTCTCTCTCTCTCTCTCTCTCTCTCTCTCTCTCTCTTATGGCACTTGGAAGAGAGAATGATCCTCAAATTAATTGAAACTAAAAAGACCACAAATTAAGAGAGAATGATCATAATAATTTTTATTATGATTATTTGTTATGATATTTTCAGTTGAATTGTTAGTATATCTGATTATCTCTCACCTGCGACCTTATAGTAACCCTCTGTAAGGTGTCTATATTATGTTTTACTTCTTCCGGTTCATATTAGTTTTTCACTTTAAATGTATTTCAAGGTTCTTGATGCATGTGTGGCACCAGGCAAGAAAACTGTCCACCTTGCTGCTCTTATGACGAGAAAGGGTAGTATTATAGCATGTGAGCTGAAAAAGGAAAGGATTAAACGCTTGAATGACACCATAAAGCTATCTGGGGTTTCCAATATCCAATATTGTGTCTATAATAATCAAGAAGCTTTTCAACCGATAGTTAATTCAATGTTACAATAATGACAAAAATTTGCTTTTTTTTATCATACATGCGAGTAGTTGTTCAGATCTTTTTTCTGCATACTGTACCATGACGCCTCTCGAACAGAGGAGCACACTGTAAATTTTGATACCATTTATTCGGTTATTAAATTTTAGTTTGTGTTGCCATGCTTCTAACATAACGCTAAGTTCAGACATAAAGGTTCTCAATGAGGATTTCTTGAACATAAATTTGAAGGACCCTTCATATTCTAAGGTAAAGTATATTTTACTAAGTTACTAATCCCTAATGTTTTTCATTCATGTTACTTGTTCGTTTAGTGTGTAACTGTTATCAGTTTTATCATTGCAGTTAAAAGCTATTCTTTTAGATCCTTCCTGCTCAGGCTCTGGTACTGCCGCTTCTAGACTAACCATCTGCTTCTATCTAAAGCATCAGGTGATATTGACACGAAAAGATTGAACAAGCTTGCAGCTTTCCAGAGAAAAGCTCTTCAACATGCCTTCCTTTGTGAGTTAGTTTGTTACTCATT